GTTATGAGTAGGCCCTACAGGTATTTTTTTTTTTTTTCAAAATTGTATGCTTATTAGTTTTTTATAAAATAACGTTTTTGTTTTTTGTAAAAGGAATGTATTTTATAATCTACACCGATGTAACACCGATATTTTGCCACAATAGTTGGCTGCCACAGAAACAGGTAGTGATACCTGGCCGTTTGAAATACGAAGGTCACGTGACTAATCACAGGAACTCCCAATCAGTCACTGGCCTCGTACTGAGTTCACAAACCAACGCTAAACAATAATTTTTATAATCTAGCTCGCTTTTTTATCGCACTGGCGGAGACAATTTTGTTGTCTATCTCATAAACACAGCATTTGTTACAAAAGTAAATAATTTTATTTAAAATGTATGCAAAAATATTAAAAATTAATTTGCAACAAAGAAAATACCTACGTTTTGAAACGTTTAATTTATGTATATTAGGTATAATGATTATTAATGTTTTCATTTTAAAGTATAAATTATTTTTTCTACTCCCACCTTTAAAACGCCCTTTATCGTACATGTTTCCATGACACTAAGTGACCTTTTAAATACACATTGACAAGTTGTGGCTTTATGGCGCTTTAGTCACGGGCTGAAGTTAGCAACAGGTTTTTAGTCACGGGCTGAAGTTAGTTGACAGTTAGTTGACAGTTGTCAAATATCATACAATCGTTAAAATAAAGTGCCTTTCTTGTAAAATAATACTAAATGTGAAAATTATTTTATTATCTCAATACAAAAATACAAAAATAGTTTCTCTCTCAACGCCAATATTTGAAAAGTTTATATGTACTGACCTTTTAATTTCGCCGGCACTAAACTATAACTTAAATTCGGGCACGGACTCTACTGTAAAGTCCTCATAAAACATTTCCTTTACTTTCACTGTGAAAAACTGTCAATTTTCAAGATACATTTCGATTTATAACCTTTATAATAATTATTGTGTTTATAAAATGTAAAAATGTGACATTTGACAGTTTCCCCTGTTGTTTCATAGATGGCGCTCTATACAAATTTTTGATTTAAATCATTTTTTCTACTCCCACCTTTAAAACGCCCTTTATCGTACGTTTCCATGACACTAAGTGACCTTTTAAATACACATTTTCAAGTTGTGGCTTTATGGCGCTTTAGTCACGGGCTGAAGTTAGCAACAGGATTTTAGTCAAGTTTAAGTTAGTTGACAGTTGTCAAATATCATACAATCGTTAAAATAAAGTGTCTTTCTTGTAAAATAATATGTACTAGGTAAATGTGAATATTATTTTATTATCTCAATACAAATAGTTTCTCAACGCCAATATTTGAAAAGATTATATGAACATTGTACTGACCTTTTAATTTCGCCGGCAGTAAACTATAACTTAAATTCGGGCACGGACTCCACTGTAAATTGGTTATAAAACATTTTATTTAGGTACTTTCAATGTGAAAAACTGTCAATTTTCAAGAAATAGATTTCGATTTATAACCTTTATAATCTGTGTTTAAAAAATAACTAAATTTGACATTTGACGGTGACACACAGTTTCCCCTATTGTTTCATAGATGGCCCTCTATACAAATTTTTGAATTAAATCATTAATTAAATTCGTGTATAAAATGGCGTTTATCAAACTTGATACATAATATAGGTACTATTCTTTACTTTTACTGTGAAAACTGTCAATTTTCAAAAAATACATTTCTATTTATAACCTTTATAATCTGTATTTATAAAATTAAAAAAATTGACATTTGACGGTGACACACAGATTCCCCTATTATTTCATAGATGGCGCTCTATACAAATTTTTGATTTAAATCATTTTAAGATAATAGGTAATAGGTAGAAAAAGTATTGTACCTATGCAACTCGTTTATATTTAATTATTTTACATTTAATTTAACATTCGCTCGCAAGCTCGCTCGTGCCTAATTAAAATTCGTGATTAAAATGGCGTTTTGATACCTACATAAAATAGATACTATGAACTACCCCTACAACTTTATGGCGTTTTAATCAAGGACTGAGGTTAGATTTATTTTAAATTGGGAAAAATTGAGGTTAAATCCGGGTGACAGTTGTCAGATGTCAAACGTTTAACAAATAAAATTGGCTATAAATTATTGTTGGTGTTCGTCTTAGATAAAGTATAGTATGCAACTCGTTTATAAACTTCTATAGAAGTTTATAAACGAGTTGCATACCTACTATACTTAATCTTTATATAGGTATAGGTATATACACTTGTTTTTATTAAACACTCGCTCGCATTTAATTAAACTCGTAACTAAAATGGCGTTTATAAAACCTGATACAAAATATATGTACTAGTATTAAAATAAACTCCGAGATAAACTCTAAAAAGCTTTAGTGTAAAAGCATTTAAATATTTGAAATTAAATTTAAAAATTGTGTAATATGGTTTGTCATTTTCGAGACACGCTCTATAAAAAATTTTTTTTAACTATTAATCACTAATTACAAATACGTGTTTTGTGTTTAAGTACTTAGGTATGTATGTATGTAGGTAAAATTAAATTTATATACCTAGGTAGTTGTAATTTAAAATATTTTGCTTGTAATTTAGTTTTTATGTAGGTACGCCCCTGTACGTGATTCGTTTTGAAAGGGGAAAATCATTTAACCTATTCCTAGATTGTAGAGATGGGTAATTCAATCATTTATTAGTGATCGAATCGATCGGTGATTGATTTCTGAAATGATCGAATCTTTTCAATCGTTCATTCAATCAATCATTTTCCTAAGCGTGCTTACCTATCTGTCGCCACTATTGGCGCATCAGTCGATATTTTGATTCGGTCGCTCCCATCTGATTAGGCTTGCCAGACGTACCCCTTTTTGGGGTACAATACCCCTTTTTCTATATAGAATTTTAAAAATACCCTTTTTCTAAAAATCCAAAAGGGGTACCAAAAATACCCCATTTTAAGACGGTCGTATTTTTACATAAAACTTAATTTTGAACGGGCACGGGTCATTCGGCACTCAGCACTTTATCTTATATTAAATTATCATTTCTACCATTTTCTAATTCAAATTTACCGCTTTTTACATCTCCTGTCTACCGCCTTTATTGCTACTGGGAGCTATGCGCATCATGACGCATTACGTTTATACGAGATTACGTAGAGCACAGCAGTTTGGTGTCTTTAATTTCTATTTTTACTTAATTACTTAAGTGTACAGTGTTAATGTGAAGGGTTTCCAGTGCAATTGCTCTCAAGTTTAGTTGAATTTGTTTTGTATTTATAAACAAAATCTCTTCGTTTTAATTACTATAGATTGCACAACTGCACAATATGTCATCATCAGAAACTTACTATAACACTGATGCAAGAATTTCAACCAAAACGGAGCAAAAAAAGACGAAATCATTTTAATGACGATTGGTCCAAAACGTATAACTGGCTTGTAAAAGGCAAAGAAGCCGGATTCGCAAAATGTTGTATACCTATGTCACTCTAACTTCTCCATAGCTAACGGAGGCGTTTTTGATGTAAAAAAACATATGCACTCCAACAAACATAAGAAACAACTGGAACTCTCGGCAAAAACATCAAATATTTCTTCATTTTTTAAAGGATCTTCAGTATTCAATTTAAATCCTAATTTGAGTCACCTTTCAAATACCCCTTTTTCGAAATTAATATCTGGCAAGCCTACATCTGATACATTGTATCATTGAACGAACGATTCGGTCGTAGTGATTGGAACGAATGGAATGAGCTTTGTCGTATCAGCTGTGAATTTTAGTTTAATAGTATCGAATCGGTACTTTTGCAATCGATCGATCAAACCAATTATACGTTTTATTTATATGAATTGATTTCGGCTTTACTAAAATAGGGATTCGATCATTGCGAGCGAACGGGATTCGATCGTTCAATACTCTTTAAGTGATTCGATCATGATGATTGAATCATTCACGATTGACACATCTCTACTAGATTGGTTATTTTGAAATTTTGATGGGTATGTTTTGTCGGTTTTTACAGAAGGATTAATTTTATTTTATCATATACATATGCTATAGGTAGTATAGGTATAAGTATTTACTATTTACAATTTATTTAATTTTGTTTTAAACAACCAACAACTTAATAATATTCATTAAACATTACCTAGATAATTATTAAATTAAAATTAAAGACCTACAATTTTCTTCAATAACTTAAAATTTAAAACTTTAACATGGCCTTTAATTAGAAATATAAATAAAAATAAAGTTTATTTGATCTTTTCCTGAAGTTTAATTAAAATTAATACACTGATAAATAATTGTCTATGCAGTGGATGAATCATCTACTAAATTGAGGTTATGTTAGGTCAAAGTATATACTAAATAAGTAACATTCGGAAACATTTTATTCCAATGTAAAACACTTTTGAATATGATGATGTTAGGGATTTAATATTTATGAAAAATAATTATTTATTCCATTGTTTTATATAAATCCGAGTAGGTATAAATCTAAATACTATTTTACTTTACATGGTAAAGAATGACGTTTATTTTTTTTAATACATATATTTGGGTTTCGTAATAAATTCGGAATTATTTGTTTAAATTTTATGATAAATGTTTAAATAATAATTTACAAATAATTCTTTTTACCTGTTTATAGTTAAATATAAACAACAGTTGTAAAAAATTGTTTAGTAAGTACTTTGAGGTAAATAAAAAATATTGAACAATATTTCTGAATTTTACTGTATATATCATTGCCAAATCAGACAAAAGTTACAAATTAAACTCAATTAAGTTCTTATTAAAATAACTTGCTTCACAAGTTTCACTTTTAAAGCACCCAGCGTATTAAAAAACAAAGTTCACAATTTTGCCAATTTTTAAATCAAATTTTAACAACACACAAGCAGGCGGGCCGTAATAAAAATTTATATTCCAAGAGAACATTTCATAACAAAGGGTATAATCACGAAGAACAAGGTCGGATATGATAAAACAAAACTTACCGCATTCAAATTTGGGCACAATTAACAGAAAATAAAACAAATAAATGCCAGAACCACTATACATTGTCACAAAAAGGCTCACTAATTCACTAAACACACCCAAAACAAACTATGCCATTCCTAAAAGTACAGCTGACTGTGTGTCTCGACTTGTTTCACGGAACGCGGCACTCTCTCAACACACAGAACACTGAACATAAGCAAACTGAATCTTTGTTGGTGTAAAGCGCGCATGCCTCGATGTCAAAATTGACATGCTTTGAAACCGACAAATTATAACTGTTTATTTAGAAACAACTGCCCAATTGCCTTCGGTGGGCAGCCCTCTCCGTTTTGTGTTTGTTTATTGTTTTTTACGGCGCTTTTATTTACGGAGAAACACGGATTGTTCATAATATATTATGGTACCTATATGTATGTTTTTTATTATTTGGATGGGGAGTAACAATAATTATGTATTGATCAATTCGAATTCTTAAATTCCTTGCGAATAACACGTGTTCAAGAAAAATTAGTGTTCAGAAAAGTTTATTAAACGAGTTTCAACGCGTTTAAGCATATTATGCTTAAGCAAATTCGAAGATCTATCTTTATAGGTATAGTTTCGGCCAGGGTTAATTGTATAAAGCCAAGTCTCGTCGATTTGTCAGTGTGTGTGTGTTTTGCAACAAAAAATACCTTATTGCCAATAAGTTATTGCAATGGTTTATCGGCAGGGCCGAATTAAGGCAACAAGAAAAATGCAGTTTAGTGTTAAGTAATTTCACATACACGCTCTGGGCACCGGCAGGGAGTGCAAGAGGGAGCGGTTGCCCCCCCATCCATTAAAATTAAGATACTAATTAGTTTAAACTATACATTAAAATTAAAATACTATACTATAGAAAAGTTGAAAATCAATGCATAGATATCTGGTATATACCACAGATAGATACTAAATAGCACGTAATTTTGTTTGCCTACCTCTGGTTTATTTTATGCCGGCGCCCATGATACACGCTAATAGCTGGCCATACACAGACGTTATTTCGCGCGGTTTATCGTGGCGTGTTGAGATGTACCGCTACGTAGCGGTTAGTATGCACGAAAGAACGGCATGGCAAAAAAAAGCGACATGTTCCATACACTTGATAAAGTATTCAAATGATTTAGCAAGTAATTGTGCGTGGTAGGGTGAAGTGGGGTAAGTGCGCTTTTGGGGTAAGTGCACCAATTGGGTTTTAAAAGAAAACAGTTGAGAATAAAAACTATCAGTTTGTAATCATGGATTTTTTTTCCCTAAATATTCGAGTTAAATGTAATAACTTTATAACCAATAAGTCAATTTACTTGCGGTAAATTGCAAAAAAATCACAAAACTGTGAGTTTGTTGCACTTGCCCCGTGAATACGTTCGTACTTATAATATGGGAACTAGCCGGTGGTGGTGCACTTGCCCCAAATATGGGGCAAGTGCACCCACATGTATATATTTTTACAAAAAAAATAGCTGTGGTGGCGTATTACCTTTAACGCAGAGTTTAGATCTGCCATGAGATACACCACTAAGGGAGTTGTATACAGGCCAAAGACTGGACTCTTACTATTGTTCTAAAGAATTATATTAACTATTCAATTTGTGTTTTGCACTTGGGTGAGTGCATTTACCCCACTTCACCCTATATCAGTTTCAAAGGAAAAATCGTATGTGAGTGGGCAAAAAGTGTCATTTATCGAGTCGTTTGAAACTGCATGTGATCATGTACAAATTTTCAACGTGAAATTTCGCCAAGCGAAGGTAAACCGTGACGCGGAATGATACGCCACAATCTAGACTCTAGATTGTGGCGTATCATTCCGCGTCACGGTTTAGATTCTAGAGGAAAGCACGTCTGAAATACCTTCCCGTTCTATCATTGCGCGAAGCGATACTCACTCACGTACATGATTTTCCATATATTTTTGCAGATAACACGATAAACCGCGCGCAATAACGTCTGTGTATGGCCAGCTAATGTTTATAAAAAGTGAACAATAGCTGGCCATACACAGACGTTATTAGCTGGCCATACACAGACGTTATTTCGCGCGGTTTATCGTGTTATCTGCAAAAATATATGGAAAATCATGTACGTGAGTGAGTATCGCCTCGCGCAATGATAGAACGGGAAGGTATTTCAGACGTGACTTCCTCTGGATTGTGGCGTACATCATTTCAGCAGTGTCCACACGCCACACGCCACATTCCGCGTCACGTGACACTTTTTGCCCACTCATGTGCACATACGATTTTTCCTTTGAAACTGATATACTACGCGCAATCACTTGCTAAATCATTTAAATACTTTATCAAGTGTATGAAACATGACGCTTTTTTTGCCATGCCGTTCTTTCGTGCATACTAACCGCTACATCCCAACACGCCACGATAAACCGCGCAAAATAACGCCTGTGTATGGCCAGCTATTGCGCGCGGTTTATCGTGTTATCTGCAAAAACATATATGTATGGAAAATCGTGTACGTGAGTGAGTATCGCCGTGCGCAATGATAGAACGGGAAGGGATTTTAGACGTGCTTTCCTCTGGAGTGTGGAGTGTCCACACGCCACATTCCGCGTCACGGTTTACCTTTGCTTGGCAAAATTTCACGTTGAAAATTTGTACATGAGCACATGCAGTTTCAAACAACTCGATAAATGACTCTTTTTGCCCACTCACATACGATTTTTTCTTTGAAACTGATATACCACGGGCAATCACTTGCTAAATCATTTGAATACTTTATCAAGTGTATGGAACATGACGCTTTTTTTGCCATGCCGTTCTTTCGTGCATACTAACAGCTACATCCCCACACGCCACTGTGTACAGTTATATATATATTCTCCACTAAAATAGTTTGTTCCACTCAATATAATAATAATAATAATAATCTCTTTATTCCTACGACAAAATACATTGTATGGAATACGTCAATACTGGGTACATAATTAAATAAATTTACAAGACATATACCTAGTCACGGCGTTCTCTATCTCTATAGAGAACGCCGTGACCTAGTAAATTACGATACAATACCTATTACCATGGTTATGTAATTATAATTGTATGAATAAGTTTATAAATTTTAAAATGTCAAATATAAGTAAGGCCTTCGAGGTTGGTTTGTTGTTCTCGTCCTTTGTGGTATTTAACCGGCGTCGTGGTCTAAGAGCCTTTTTGATGATGGTTTTGGAGAATCCTTTTTGCTGTAGCGTCGTTTTGGTTTTCAGGTCTTCTTGTTTCTTATGGTCATCATCCGCCAGCCTTTCGGATCCCGTGACAATTGTCTTAAGTGTCTTAATATAAAGTCATATGACTGGATGCAGTTGTGACGAGTGGTGGTGAGACTGGGCGTGTGCCCTAGTTTGATATTATTTTTCTTAATTATGAAGATATCCAGAAAAGGTAATTGGTATTCTTTTTTGGTTTCCATTGTGAACTTAATCTTTTTGGGAATTCCGTTGAGATGGTCCAGGAATTTCTTCAGTTCCGCCGTGGGTCCAGATAATAAATGTGTCTTCTACGTACCGTAGCCATAACTTTGATTTTAGTGTTGCCCTTTCGATTACTCGTACTTCTATGTCTTCCATGAATAAGTTCGCTATTGCTGGCGTTATTGGGAAATTGACTTAAAAAAAACAATTGTTTAAGGGTCTTGGCTGGCATCGAATACAGAACCAAACGTACAGTGGCCGACAAGGAATTTCGAACATCAAATCTCTGTCATTTCAAAAAATGTCAGTGTAAACCACACACTGAGAAAATTCCAATCTTAAATTATCTTAATGAAATTATCTACATAGTGTTCAAAATATATCTAATAACCAGTACAAATTATCTATCTGTGACATGAAGACGAATTAAGGTGACTAATAGATACGTTTTAATAAAGTGTCAAAACAAAAAATATAGATCATCTATATTTATATTTTAACAATCATAAAATATCTAAATACCACCATAAACTCCGATTAATATGTCGCTGTTCTTTAAATTATTTTAATGCCAGTGATAAATAACTAAATATGGTTAATAGACGACCTTATTAAAACTTGTCTTAATAACCATTACTAGTCAATTGTGAACACATAACATAAGATTGTGAACCACCTTAAATTATCTAAAGACCTTAAGAAGTTGTATAATAGCCTTAACAAACTCATCTACCTAACTAACAGATTCGGCTTTCCGACTATACTCGAATCGACCAATCGTTTAACTAGCGTCCACAGCCAGAACAGCGTCCTCTGTGGTAGCGTCATTAATTATTTCTCACTTGTTTACGGGAAATTGAGGATAATATTGAATCGTTTATAGAAGAAAAAGGGCGTTTCTTCACAATTGTTTTGCGGTAATTTTACAGAACATAGTAATGGCTTTCAAAGTTACTCTGCTTGAATGGGGGCTCAGTGATTTTGTTAAAGGATTTGAAGGTAGGTTCAATTTCTTTCTATATAGTTTCCGGGGTAAAATGTTAACAATTTATTATTATTAGGTACCATATTTATAAATACAACTTGTACCATATAACTAAATACAGCTTGAGAAAATTTACCAAGATTTTTAATAGGTCAGAATATTGGCTTTGATTCCTTAATTTATTATTTAATTATACATGTATAAAGTTATAATTTTAAAATGGCCTATCTGCTGAAATAGTTTAATTTTTTTAAAGCTCAATTGTTATCTTTCTTTTTAGGGTAGACTGGCTAAAAATGTTCAGAAAATTATGGAGTTAACTAAATGGAAATAATCCTTAAAAGTATTATTAATTAATATTTCTACTAAAAGTACCCAGGTAGCACACTGACGTATGCTGACGTTTATATGACGTCTTCTGACGTTAAAATGACGTTAGCAAAGTCATTTCAACGTCATATAAACGTCAGTGTGCTACCTGGGTAAAGTCTTGAAAATGAAAATAAAGTCCCAACGCAAAAAAAGGAACTAATAAGGTCGTCTAGTAAAAATAATTTCGGTATTTATCTCTATTTTATTTCCTAAAAAAATAAGGAAAGCATTAATTTATGCTAATTGCGATATGTTTTTCTGATTTTTTTATAAACATTTAGGTTAGAGTGCTCCAATTGATGAAAATAATGGTGTTAATGATTTTTTTAAATAAAATAAAAATGAATGCCAAAATTATGTTCAAGTACTCGAAGACTAAAATG